GTCCTGGTCAAAACGAGTGTCCAGAGCTATAGAGTCGACCTTTGGTGGAGCTTTCTGGGCTTCTTCCTTGATGGACTCTTGCTTGTCGGGCTCCTGTCGTATCTTTTTGGCGGGCTTTGTCCCTACGTCGACAGTGTCGCGTCCCTTAGATGCGGCGTTGAAACACCTCCGAGCAGCGGCCAGGTCTCCTTGGATAGTAGCTACCCGTGCCCTTTTGGTGTAGAATTTCATCTTTAGGTGGACGGTCGAGGGCACCGCTGTTAGTTTTGCCAGTGTTGGTCTCCCCAAGATGCAGTTGTACAGAGACGGGCAGTCGATGACGAGGAAGCGTACTTTGACCTGTCTTGTCGCTGTTCCTTCGCCGAATGTAACCAGGAGCTCGACATACCCCTAAGGCTTGGAGGTCGAGCCGTTAAAACCTTGTAAGTCCGACCCTACATACGGCGAGAGATGTGAGTCGTCCAGCTGTAGAGTTCGGAACAGTTGGCTGTACATCACGTCAACGGAACTCCCTTCGTCGACGAGGATGCGGTGCACATCAAAATTGGCCATTCTTTCCCTTATCAGTAAGGGGATGACCGCGTTTGGGGCTCCGCCAGGGAGCTCTTCTAGGTAGAAGGTGATGGGCTCTGACCTTCCCTTCACCCTCTCGAACGTCACTGTTTGCGGGGGCGTCGCGTCTACCAGCTCATCCAGCTTCCTCTTAGCCGAATTAATGGTCAAGTCGTTGAATCCGCCGCCATTGATGACCATGGCGGAGGGGAAATATTCCCACCTGCTGTGCGTTATGAGCGGCTCCTGCAGGTGCTCGGGGATGTCGAAGTCCTTAGGCCTGGTCACGGAGAAGGCGGTCTGGATGGGGACCGACTCGTCAGATGGTCGGGCATCTTCCTCCGGCTCCCTTGTCTCCTGGGCGTCACGACGGGGAGCGTCGCTTCGCCGGTATTGCGCAAGCCTCCCTCCCTTGATGAGGGTTTCGATGGCGTCCTTGAGGTGGACGCAATCCTCAGTCAGATGACCATGGCTCCTATGGTACTGACAATATTTGTTCTTGTCTGCTTCGGGCTTGGCGGGAGCAGGTCGGGGACGTTTGACACCACCGTCCTTGAAGTCAGTGCTGGCACACTCCGCCAGAATGCGCTCGTGGGAAGCTGTGAGCGGAGTGTACTCGGTGAAACGCCCCGAGGGTCCTCTTTGTTCTCAGACTTCCCGGGGTCTGTCTTCTTTTCTTTTCTCCCCGGTTCATCGAGGAGGAGGAGCTTCCTGGTGCGAGCTGCTGTTGGACCCGCGAGTCCTGGGGTCTCGGGCTCTGTTGGCCGCTTCCCTCTCCTCGTAGTCCATGTATGCCCGAGCTTTTTCGAGGAGGGCGTCGAATGTCCTGGGTGGCTCGATGCCCACGACTTTTCTGAATTCCGTGCCGGGGAGGAGCCCCCTCTCCAACATATATCTCTTCATATGGTCCACGCAGGGGACCTGTATAGCTTCTCGGTTGAAGCGATTGATGAACTCCCTCAAGGTTTCATCATGTCTTTGGATGATGGCCTCGAGAGCCGCCTCGGTCTTTGGATGCCGCCGAGAAGCTGTGAACGAACTGATGAACTGGTTTTTTAGGTTTCGCCACGAGGTGATTGAGCCCGGGGCGAGTCCTTTGTACCAGTCCATTGCCGCCTTCCTGAGAGTCGTGGGGAATAGTCGGCATTTGATGGGTCCCCCGACATTGTGGTAATGCAGCATAGCCTCGAACCCGTCTATGTGGTCGACCGGGTCCGCGACTCCATCGTACTCCTTCAAGTGTGGGGGTTTCTCCATGCCCGGGGGGATGGGCGCTTCCATGATAGCTTGCGACAGGGGACCGCGGGGGTCGTCCTCGTCGCTCCTCTCCGGGGACAGAGATGGGGACCTGTAGTACTGTCGGGCATGACGGTCCTGGTCGTGCTGGGCCTCTTTCGAGCGTGATGCTCGTTGGTTAAATCTTACACGCCCGTCTCCGGAGTGCCTTCTTTCCTGTCTCGCCGGGTCGCGACCATGTCCTCCGGCTTGGATGATGGGTTGCCTCTCCAAAGGAGGCCGTTTTCCCGATGGTCGGGGAGACTGGCTTCGAGAGGTTTCTCTGTAATGTCTCCGCGAGGGAGACGGGAGTTGGACTTCAGTCACTCGAGGAGGCGGAGTATGGGGCCTCTGATGCCTCCTCGGGGGTCTTCGGTCATCTTCAAGTGCCCTCAGTCTTTCCCCTTGGGCGAAGATGAGGTAATTTGTTTGATTAATCGCTGCGAACAACGCTTGAGTTGTGGCGTCCGCCCCGACGGGGACGGGGACTTCCTGGAACCGGGCCGCCCGGTAGTTCACGAGAGCTGCCTCGTCTTCTTCGAGTGGCGGAGGGACCGAGGAAGACGACGCAGTAGCTCCGTCGCGGTAGGTTGAAGGTCCGGGGGCAGTTGACGCAGGGATGGTGTTGTGACCGGGGTTGCCGGCATTATCGAGGTGTCCGTTTTTGTCCGCGGGCCGTTGTTGGTGTCGACGATGCGGACGTTTTGATCATCGCGAGCTTGGTCAGCCATGACAGTGGTAGTTGAGTCGAGCTTTGGTCTTTGAGTTTTGCAAGACGGGGAAGCTAGTTTCCCACAGACGGCGCCACTGATCTAACCTGATCAGACTTGGACCGTCACGGCTGGCTCCGAGCTGAAGTTTTGAACGAGGTGGGGGGGGTACATGCAAGGCACTCCGATGCTGAAGTAAGTGAGAGTACGAGCAGGCAAAAGTGTGAGTATGGGTAAAAAGATGAATACCTGATCCTCTGGGAACAAAGGGTGTTTATAGCCCACAGCGCTGGGCCAAGGTCCCTTCATTGGGCCGGGCAGGTTTGACCCAATGGAGGAACTGCTAGGTTCTACGTGTGTAGTGGGGACCCGCACGTGATCTCCTTCTTGGATGTTCGGCGTGAAGTACGGACGGACGAGGACGCGGTCTTTTCGGGATCCACGTGATGGTGTAGTGGACAGAGTCTGCCCTAGGAGGAGTGCTCGAGCTGGGGTCGAGCAGGGTAGCATGAAGACGGGGACGTCACACTAGCAGAGAATGTCGGGCACGGATGTGGCCTCTTGGTCGGCGTGACCCCTTGCAAGACCGTTTGGGTTGGGCCTTCACCATTGCTTTTGGGCCAGCTCGGCCCAGTCCAGAACACTATGTATACTACAGTAAAGCTGCATACCGCTGCATTCGACCCGCTTTGAGGGAACCATGAGACAAAGTCATTCCAGGTATATATTGATCGGTTGGTGTTTGATGATATACACTTTCAGGCATATGTTGACCACCGTGTGACGATTCCATTTGACGATGTTGTGTTATACTCGGGATGGTTGGCTTGCGAGTCGCACAAGACGGCTGCATATCTACCTGAGTCTGTCACGCGTCAGTTCGGGTACATGTATTACATTCCCCAGGATCCCTGGTGAAACGAAGTTATATTGATGCATTATTTGATGATTATGTTACTCATCTGGTGCCAGATGAGGCCTGAAGTACCTTAGCACCAGACGAGTGGAGCTACGTGGGCAGTTACATGATTCTTAAGGGTGTCCCATCCATATCTAGTACAAGATGCTTCAGAAAATCCACCTAGACCAGCTCATTAGGAGATTCTAGAGAAGGAGCAAGTTAGAGTCGATCATGCTCATGATGTGTTGTTTATGTGTCGTCGTATCGTGAAGATTAGACAAACAGATATTGATGGAGGACGGCTTTCTGATGACTCTGAGGTTAGATGTGTTCTAGATGCCATCACGACAGAGGTTCAGGAGGCTCTGCAGTACATGAGACAGTAGAGAAACGTTGTAAGGATGATGGTCTGACTCAGAGTCCTCCATACGCTTTAGTCTTCAAATTTATATATCTTGTATTGTATTTTGGTTGGAATAATATTTAATTTATCAACTTTTGATTTATTTAGATAATCTTTGGGTTAAAATTATGATTCAATTTTAACTATATTTGGATGTAATTAGTGTGTCTTTTAGTGTCATTAGAAATAGTTTTCTAACATTTAGAAATATCATGAAATCTTAAAATCAGTGTTGTAAAATGATTAAATCCTGTTAAAAATATAAAATAAAAAACTTTTAAAAAATGTTAATAAAATCCTCTAAAATCTTTTAAAGTTTGAAAGAATTATTTTTGTCGAGCATGAGTAGTATGGATTAAACACACTTCAAAATAACACCGTTTTATTGTCAGCCAAGAACTTAATACGGAATTGGGCGGTTAAACGAAAGAAAACACCGAAAGATTGGAGGGAGATGGTGGCGAGAAACAAAACTGAACGAGCAGTAGAAAGCCACTTGCCGCCGAAAGCTCATACAGTGTTGTTCACTACCGCAACAGGTAATCCGATTTTTTCTCAATTGATGTTTGAATTGTAATTGGATAGAGATTTTGACGTTCATGTTAAGGACATCCTCAATGTCAAAACAGAAGCTTGCTAAATTGATTTCTAGGACAATGACATCAAAAATATCCCCAAATATATTCTCTTAGCTTTTAATCACTTTTGCCTTTATTTCCTGTGTTTTACTCCATCTTTGAGTGTTTTGTGTTGACTTTCTTTAATCAAATGCTGTTTCACCTTTTTTCTAAATTTCTTCCATTAATCCATTACTCTATTTTTTGGGCTGCGATGATTTTGTTGCGATTTATCTACTACGATATGTGATGGAGCGTATCAAATATCACCAACAAGTCTCGCTTAATTTTTATTGATTTGGAAAAGACGTATAATAGAGTGTCTAGAGAGATTTTGTGGAAAACCCTAGAATAGAAAGGGGTTAGGATTGCATATATTTGAGCTATCCAAAATATGTATGAATGGGATATTGACTAGTGTGCGGATCCTGGGCGGAGAGACAGAGACATAGACGGTTTCTTTATTCAATAGATTTGTATCAAGGTTCAACCATAAGCCCCTACTTTTTTACTTTAATTTTGGATGTACTCACAGAATACATCTAAAAGGTAGCACCGAGATGCATGCTTTTTGCAGATGATATAGTCCTACTTGGAGAGTCAAAGGAGAATTTAAATGAGAAGTTGGAGACTTGGAGGCGAGTTATAGAAACACGTGGTTTTCTTCTAAGCAGAAGTAAGAAGGAGTATAACAGACTACAGTAAGACCTGCGTTGCCGTACGAGACAAAATGTTGGACGCTTAAGGGTCAACACAAGAATAAAGTAAGTGTAGCAGAGATGAAGACGTTGTGTTGGATGTGTGATAATACTAGACATAATAGGATTAAAAATGAAAATATTAGAGAGTATTGAGGTAGCACATATAATAAAAAAGATGGTGGAAAATAGATTTAGGTAGTTTGGACATGTAAAGAGAAGACTCGTAAATTTTATAAATTTTGTGATAGGAAGAGTAAACTTGCTAACACAAAGCGAAATCAAGTTATTACTTTTCTCATATAGAATAAAAAATTGGTAATTACATGTATGCCTTTTTCCACTTGCTGGGGAAAGCTCAGACATTGGTTCACTGCCTGAACAGATACAATCTCATTTTTACTAGATAACTCACAAACAAGGTTCTTTTCCTTCTTTCTTGATATGAAAACATACTTTCTTTCACATATTTCTATTGTTACTGAAATTTAACGAAATATAATTTAGTTAAAAAAAATACACATTTTGGCTTCGTCCAGGCTTTAACTGGAGACCTTCAGTGTGTTAGACTGACGTGATAACCAACTACACCACGAAACCACATGTGTTGCTTTATAACATTTTAAAAACTTAAAACAAATCTCACAATAGTTCAAGATGGTAAAGAAAGAAGTATATGTCATTGACACCCAATTCAAAAAATATTATGTGGGTATTTGAATCTTTTCTTTTTTTTAGTGTGTTATAATAAGGTTAATGTTTGATATTTGTTTTTGGAGAGTGTAGATATTCTAAAGTTGCAGGGTACTTGAGAAAAAAAAATTCTATATTGTGCAAATTTCATAATGTTCAAGGAGTAGCTCATTTGATGAGTTCAAAGACACCCAACATATTCTAACCAGTAGCTCAAGAGTTCAAACTAAAAAACTAATATAATCCACTAAGATTTGTTTATAAAAAGCAAAAGTATCAAAACACATAGGTGTAAGCACAATAAATTTGATTCAATTACAAGAAATTCAGTAACAAACAGACGAATTAAAGCCATTATTCAATTTCAACCCATTCAACAAGGGGGCAAATTGGCTAACACAACATAAACTCGTCTGGAACAAAACACACAAACATGTGCATATCAAAATTAAACAAACTAAACACGAATTTAAACTTCAAAGTTGATGCTTATGAAGTAAATCAAACTATTAGGATCATAGATAGATCCTTAATTCTTCCTTCACATAAATCAAATGCAGCAACTATTTTGATCATCACGATGGCAACACTTGTAATTAACAGAAGTCACCTCCATCACACGTCCACAAGTAGGATTAGGACAAGTTATAGTAGCAAGAACATCTGAAGAATTAACAGCACAAGAAACACTAGAAGATATCTCTTTCAGCTTAATATTATAATACTCTTTGAAAGCTATGTCAAAGCTTTCTTTCTCAACCACATTGTCTTTCCATTTTCCAAAATCAGCCACAGTTTGATACATAGGTTCACCATGACCCAAAAGTGTAACGTGATAACCTTTACTAAGAAGAACCCATCCTAGCGGGTCTTGCTTGAGACATAGTAAGCTTTTTACCGCCTCTTGTATTTCGCAGTCTACTCTGTCATGACATGTTTTGTTCTGTTTTCTTCCGTCTATGCCAATCCAAAAGTAAGGAATCTTTGTTGTATTGTGTTTTCCTAATTGGTGGTAATCTATGTTAATGTCCACATTCTTGATGCTTTGATTTTTTTGAATGTTTCCTATTGCTCTTGTGAAGTCTTGGATCCACTTCGGGTCGTTTCCTCCATAGATGAAAATGTAACTATCTCTTCTCATGTCCTCTATGTTGATATCAACTTTCTTCATTAAATTCCAAAACCAAGCCCATTTCTTAAAGAGATCATCACCATCAATTTTCCTAAAAGGAAAAGCATCAAATCCCCATTGAAAAATGATTTCCATTGCATTCTCATTCATTATTTCACCTTGAGAATTGATCACTGACACAATAGGCTTATTATCGATATAATTCAATCTGTTCTTTATAATCCCAAGTCCCGGTAGTTGAGAGAAATATTCCAACACATACCTGCAAAAATATATTATGAATAAAAAGATACAAAATTATTCGAGACAAGAACAGAAGTTCATGTAAAAATCAGGTGATCTAACACATACCATTTCATACTTTCCTTCAAGTTTCTGAACTGATTCTTGGCAACTTCATCCCACATATCAACAGTGGGAATCCACAAAATCTTGAAATCCTCTTTTTTGAAACCTTTTATCACTTCTTGTGGATTATCCTGCAATCTGTTATAGATTGAATTTAACAACAAAATCTCATCTCCAATGCTGTCTAGACCTGAAATGAACAGCAACACATAGTTCTTCTTGAAGACTTCAAGACCCTGTTTGGTAAAATTTTATAAAGAAGAAAAAAACATAATCATTTAGCACTAACCGTGTGTAAAATATTATTAACATTAAAGAATATATAAATTAATTAAAATGTTTTTAGCACTAACTGTTCTAACTTGGGTGTTCCCTTTATATATTAGTGGTATTTGATCAGAATCATTGCCTTGGATCAGAAGCCTCAAGAAACCAACAACACCTTTAATGTTTTCAGACTCTTTCAAACGCCTATAATAATCGTCTATCCTCTCTGTAAAAGTAGTAGGAGATGATATTATTAAACTAGTTATTTAGTTCATCAGTTATGATTGACATATCAATTATTACTAAACATTAATTAACTGATAACTTGTTTGTTAAGTCAGAGTTTGTCTTTAGCTGCTTAGCTATTTAATTCGAAGTATTGAAGTAACCGAATAACACATATAGTTATTTTTGTACCAATTTGCACTTTGGATTTTTCCAAGTGATCATTCAATCTCATAACCACACTAGAAAGCCTTTTTATATAATCCGATAATATATGCTCCCTGAAAGCAAAAAAGTTATCATTTATAGTTGCATAGTAGAAACATTATATTGTGACTTCACGATAGATGACTACTACAAATATAATGATTAAATTGATAACTTACGATATACCGACGAGGTTGGCGGAGCAAGCAACAATGGTAGCAACAGTCCAATACACAACAAGAGGAATCTCTTGCATTGCATCAGACAAAGAATGAACTTCCTCTAAATCATAACCCATAGCAGACCATGTTGCCCACTGTATAATGTGTTGAAACACTTGCAGTAAAAACGCGACAATGTCTGAGATATCAGAAGGAACCTTTCTGAACTGAACTTGGTTAAGTTGCTTCAATGAGTTTCCTAATGTGTCTGATGATTGAATCCTATAAAGGTGCATGAATTCACCATACTCCAAAGAAAATGCAGCTAGAGTTATCAATGCTTTTGCATCCCATGAGAAGCCTCTGAGATGCTGGAAAATCCACAATGTTGTTTGGTGTACACACTCTGCTTTGCCACGTGTCATTATCATCTGATACATGCCACCATCAGCAATCCGATTCAAAAGAATAAAAAAGCGATAAACACAAATAATGAAAACATATGATGTTTGATGTCAAATTTCGATCATTTTTAATTAACATAAATGATAAATAACCTGACAAGAAATCCTCTTCAAGGCAGGAAAGTCTGGTTTGAAAGAAATCTGAGTCTGAAAACAAAACAAAAATTGTTAGTTCAGTTGCACAATAAATTGAATGTGTCTGATGTCTCTGCATAGACTGAGTTGGATTAATGAGACTTAAAGTGTGTATATAATATGAAAGATTATTGAAGAAGTTGTTTATTAATTACGATAAGTACATGATTAGTTCCAGAAATTTGAGCAGAAGAAGCAGAGATGATGGTGGAGACAAGGTTGAAAAGCACATCCTTATCATATTTTTCATCATCATTGACATGAGTGAGATAAACTTTGTTGAGAATATGATAGTCGTCAAATTCAAAGGGGTTAGGGAGCTTAGATTTCTGTTGCTGTTGGGAGGTACCATTCTGTTGGATCTTAGCACCATTTGGTGCAACTGAGGACAATGCAATGGACATGATGCCGATTAATCGTGATTTGTGTATAAATTAACAAATAATTAGCAAATTAATGATCTCACCTTGCTTAATCTGTGTTAAGGTGTTTCCTCTTATTTATACTTGACATGATATAATAGACAAATAGACAAATATTTTTTAAAGTAAAAGTAAAAAAACAAAAAACAAAATAAGGTAGATTCTTTTGTGTGTGACTGAATAAGGTAGCTTCTTCGTGAGTGGTCTCAAAACGTGAAACCTGATGATGATACGAAGTGATTTTCACAATGTACCCTCGCATCACAATGTTTGTTTGTTTGTAAGATTGCATTGCCATTTTATTGGCATTGTTTTAACAAAATATTCTCTTTTGTATTTTTGTCTTCATTACGACAAAGGACAAACTTCAGCGAGCGTGTCTGTTAATTTGAGTATCATGGAACTTTTGCTTTTGAACGATAGATAGTGACATGCCAATGATGGAAAGAAAAAGAAAAATGAACAAATATTGTACCACTTTTTTCTTTAATAAGTGTCAATGATGTGAAATAAAGAACAAGTGTTTATTTATTTAAAAATAATGTTTGGATAATTTCTAAAATAAGTATTTGGAAAATTATATTTTATAGGTGGTTAAAATATAGTTAATGTACATATTTGACATTGAGAGAGTAAATGAATATTTTTTAATGTTTTTTATTGTTTTAATTATTGATTAAAACGGACAAAATAATGAAAAAGGTATATTCAAGGAATTCAACCCTGCAACATTTGAATAAGAAAGATCCTTAATCATAGATGATTATCACAGAATTATTGCAACGTATGTATGAGCACTGAATTAAATATTGCTTTATATAATCAACAATTCACATAGTTGCATTCTTTCACCAATTGTAATGAGTTTTTCTATAAATAGAGAAACTTTATAAACATAAAGACATGAAAAATTTACATGTTTGATGAGCTAACAATTATATCTAAATTATTCTTTTATTTTTCCAATGTACGAGAGTAAATAAAAAAATATTTATTCGGTAAAATATCGTTGATCAATATGATTGATCTGTCACCGTGAACAATATGCATGTAGTGTACACTACAA